CTCCTAAAAAAAAAGAATTAGGAAGTTTTCTTTTTTAAAAAAAAAAAAAAAAAAAAAAAAAAAACAGGGTTAAAAATAATGGGAAAGAGGTTAAATGGAATACAGCCAAAGATAAACTAAGAATACTTGATTCAGCCTTACATTTACTACCACTTTATTTCCAATTTGGACACCCTAACCCTTCCATGTAGGCTTGAGGGCTAAGAGAGAAGTGGCATGGGATTCAGCCTAAATTACAGGTAAAAGGCAAACACTCCCAGAAAAGCACTGCAGAGCATGTCAGTGTATAAATAAGGCTGTGTGAAGTAATGCGTGCCAGGGCGGCGGAAAAAAAAAAAAAAAAAAAAAGCATAGAAAAAAGTGGAGTCATGAAATATTGATGCTTTCAGAGTTGTGCAGGTGCCTTTGGGTAAACGCAGGCGCGCGCTGAACACGCCGCATGTGATTTCCAGCTTCAGTCATGTTGGCAGCACGATGCGCGGCGGAGACGGGAGCGGGGCTGTGAAACCGGACCCTCTGCCAGGGATGTCGACGAGCCGGAGTCCCTGAAACCTCCGCCAACCCGGGATACAGCCTTTATACGGACTGATACGTGTTTTCCTGCGCGAGTGCGGGCTGCTTTTTCCTTCGGTTTTTTTTAATTGTTTTCTTTTTTTTTTTTTTTCCTTCTCCTCCTCCAGCACGCAGTATATAGTGGACCTGGATGCCGTGTGGGCGATGCAGTCACAAGGGATATATTGTGATTTGGCGGAGATGTGTTCGCCACCATTGCATTGATTAAAAACAAGCAAAGGAGGTAACGAGGGATCTAATAAGAGATCGCCACCTGTTACCAGAAAATCAGGTAAGCCTCATAAACCCACTGTCGCTTTTAACATTTGCACAACCTTATAGTCATTCACAGTAAGCGGCACGTAGTTCATTATTGTTCTCCCAAAGATCCATGAAATGAAGCGTGAATTCATTCGCACTGTACTTTTTAAAAGGCGAAATGCACCGTAATGTTGCGCACCAAAGATTTATGTACCCATCACCTTTGTGATCCAAAGGGTAATGAAGCACACCCACGTTTAATAGTTGGATTTGTGAGGTGCGCTGAATGGAAACATCCCAATAAAACGGATTCAAAGATATATATTTGATTAAGTGGAGGATACGTGGGCTTGCACAAACCTTTGCATTGCATCAGTGCAGGTATATACAGGCAGCAACCGCAGTTCCTCAAGCCAGTGCAGTGGCAGCAGACCTCTTTCATCCACACAGCTATTCAGCTGCGTTCAAGTAGCCTGCTCTCTCTGTGCTGGATGCCAATCCAAGACAACATCCCCACTTGGGGGTGGAGGCGGTTGGGAGGAGGTAGAGTGGGGGGGATGGGGGGAAGAAGAATAAGCCAATTTTTATAGCTGTTCACAAATCATTTGTCAGTGCTGTTCCTCTTTTTCTCGATCCTTCCCTGCTTGGAAGAAGCATCAAGGCAATGTCCATCTGTGGAGGGGTTTCAGACAGCAACTGCTGCTGGCCCCACTGTGCATTGTTAGCTGCTCAAAAAAAAAAAAAAAAGAGAGAACTTCTAAATCAGACCATTTGTTTTGCTTCTCTTATGGTGGCACAAAATTATTCATACCCCTTTAACTTTCTCACATATCATCACGTTACAACCCTAGACTTCAGTGTCTTTCATTGGGGTTTTAAAATGAAGTGAAGGTAACATGATGTATTTTTGGGAAATATAAACTTAAAAAGTCTGGCTTGCAGTTGCATTCTACCCCACACCTTGTGCTGCAATTGCAGATGAAAGTCTGTTGGTTAATGCTTCCCACCAGGTTTGCACATCTTGAGATAGAAATCTTTCCATATTTGTCTTTACAAATTAGCTCAAATTTAGACAGAATGGAGGGAGATGATCTGTGAACAGCAGTTTCCAAATCCTGCCTCTAATTTTCAGTCGGAATCAAGTTCAGTCTGTTTCTTGGCCACTCAATTACACAGATATGTTTTGATCTTAACTATGCTATCGCACCTCTGATTGTATGGTCAGGATCGTTGTCCTGAGGAGAGGTGAACTTAGCAATTTGGAGTTTTTATTCCAGGACTGTCTTGTATTTAGCTCCTTCTATCTTCCCATCAAACTTGACATGTAGTTTCCCTGGCAGCTGAAGAAAAGCATCCCAACAACATGATCCCATCAGCACTGTCTTCAAGAGCTAAACCATGACAGTGCTTGTTCACCAAACCTTTAAATCCTTCACAAAGGGGAACTGCATTGGTCTCTTCAGACATTTAGTTGCACCGGCTTTTATTTAGGGACATCAGAGTAAAGGAGCCAAATCAAATGCAATGTGGCTGTCACACTCTTCAGTTTTTTTTTGTTTTTTTTGCTGTAAAACCTTTTTATAACATGCTTCATTTCCCATCCACTTCTCAATTATATTCTAGTTTGTGTTGGTCTATCACATAAAATATCAACAAAATGCACTGACATTTGTAGTTTTAAGATGCAAAGTTAAATGGGTCGATGGATCTGAATATTTTTGCAAGATACTGCACAACAGACCGCTCTTGCAAAGTTAGCATATATTTGTTCGATACACAAAAAGCTAAAAGGTAAAGGAGAACCAGAAACCAAGTATTGTTCAGCGTGTCTAGTTTGGACCTACACTGAAAAGATGTTAGAGATCGGGCCCATTTGGGTTTGATGTGCTTCAAGGACCCATCCACTGTCTAAGTATAGATACTAATTTGTCACTGACAGTTTTATTTCATAACCCCCATTACATTTTTTTCTGCTTATATCCAAAATCAAAGAGCATTTTGACCAAGTGACAGGGCTGCGCTGTCTCAAGATGGAGAAAAAAAGATAAAGGGGAACGGGTGAAAAGGTTGTCACTCTTGTCTGAGCTGCACATCAGGCCGTGAGACGACTTTGTTTCAGAATCCATCTTTGCTATATGGCACTCAAGCTGACACAGGCATGAGATAAAGTCAATTTTGAAAAAAAAAAAAAAAAAAAAAAAAAAAAAATCTCTAATATATAAGTGGGATCAGTAGTCCAAAAGCATCACTTAAAGCAGGGAATGAGTGCATTGACATTAATTTTGTATGTTAACACATTCAAAGTGCTGTTGCACTACTGCAGCAACACCTAGTCACTTGATATGTCATCGAGCTGCTCTTAATATTCAAGGGTTACTCTTTTTTCCTTTGAATAAAGCATACGTGACCTTTTTAATGCCACATGTCCTGTTCTCAGAATTATTTTGATCTTAAAAGTGAGCACTGTACTGAATAATGTAGCATAAAATAACTTTCATTTTGACCTTTCGCCTCCGGATATTATTTGCTTTCCTGCTCGCTTTAGCAGGCCAGCTGATTTTTAATAATTAAGTCTTAGTTTAGCAACTCTTCTCAAGGCAATACAATAATATCTCTACTTTACATTTCAAGCTGCTATTAGGTTGTTGTACCATACTCCCTACATGAAAGCTGTCTGGTGATTTGTAAACAAGATTATAAAGGTTAACTATTTTATTTCTTCATTATAACGTTCAAGGCTGAATGCGGATTACATCAAAGTTCTGAATGGGAAACAGGTTTTTGTCCTGCAAGATAGTTATAAGTTTAAAATATTAATTTGCAAAGCAGTAGCCAGTGGGTAGTTTGCTTTCATTGAGATGAAATGATGTGAGTGAATGTTTTAAATCTCTGAATCTCTTAGGGAGGAAAAACTCAATGTAATCTCTGACTCCCTTTAGTTCATTAGCTGGATAATATGATGCAGTTACACTATTTGTGGATAGGCTTTGGTTTACATGGAACGAGTGGGTCCCCTTGTGAAAGTGTCATCAGTGTTGAACACTCAGAAAGCTTTATGTGGTCTAAGAAGCTGGGTCCGACAGAGTGGACCGGGATTAATCTCCCTGTTGGGGGAGATCAATCTGTGATTGAGATTATTATTTGCTTCACATTCTGTATTAGGCTAAGTTGATTGTGTTTGAGTAAAGCTGATTTTACCCATCTTCTCTCTGTTCTTTTCTTTTTTTTTGTCACTTTTTCAAGCGCATCCTTTTTGCCTTAGTAGTCTGGTTGTAAGTCCAAAACAAAAAACCTAAAGATGTCTAGTCCAGGATCAAAAAAGAAAACGGCTACAGTCCTATGAGAAATGCATAGAGAGTAATTTCATTCAAAACGAATTACACAAATAATGTCAATATTTATCTTCCGATGGAAGACTAAATACGTCTTCCATCGGGCACGGCAGTGGTATAGGAGTAAATTATGCGACACACGTATACGGAGGCCTTACCCCTCGATGAGGCTGTCACAGGTTCAAGTCCTAGCCTGATGACCTTTGCCGCCTGTCTTCCTCCTCTCTCATAACCCACTTTCCTATCACACCGTTGTTGGCCCCTTGAGCTGGAGAAAACCTTTCAAAAATATATAATAAGAATAATTCTTCCATCAAATAAGTAAATGTATCCATGAGATAAAACCTAAATAGATGAGAAAAACAAAAATGGTGGGGAGCTTATTTTGTCAATCTCGATTTAACTTATTTCCTTTTTTTTTGCCAATTAAAGATTTAATGTATTTAAATTAGAACTTATTTATTTCATAAGTGTGTTTTATTTTGTGAGACTTTTATTTTGTAAAGCTCCTTTATATGCTTCAGCGACTTATTCATTTAACTCTGTTTTTATTTTTCTCTGTGAATGAAGCTAGCTGAGAGAGAGCGAACCACAGCACATCTAGTGTAACGTATGAGCTTTAAGGGCTACTGGGACAATAAAGGAGGTGGGATATCTTTGGAGTACTGGAACCCCTCTCTGCCTAAACAAAGGTCCTTCACAACCTGTTCAAATTAACCCAGTCAAGGTAATGGCTACCCCGGATGCCACATGTTAAAAAAAAAAAAAAACGTGGCGGTCAACCGCTTACAAAAGAAAGTGAGGCCTGTCGTTCTGCAGCAAATTCTGTCAGGGATCGCTACCTTCGCAAGACACCAGGAGGCAAGTTCAATCCCCTACAGCTCGCACGTTACACCCTCATGCAGATATGCTGAAGTTTGTTGTTAATTGACGCTATGTAAATAAACTGAATCGAATTGAAGTTCAGTGTTTCAGCTCAACTCACTCTGACGAGCGGAGCCCCGTTCCACAGACAAATCTACACCCCCACATTTGAGCATAAGAACATAAAAAGAGCCTGAAATAATGAGTTAGCGGTAACACTTTATTTGAAGGGGGTTGAATAAGACTGACATGACACTGTCATAAACACCTGTCATGAACATGAATAAGCCTTCATGAATATTTATGACTGTTGTCATAAAGCGTCATTCGGTAAATTATGACACTTTTAATACAAAGTTGACATTATTCAAAATGTCTTTGTTATGACAACTTGACATTAACCAGGAAATCATTACTGTTTAAACTTTACCTTTAATAACATAAAGTTACCTAATTTTTAAAATGCAATCAGTAATACTTTTATAACAAATGTATATCAGTAATGATTTCTTTAAAAGGAAATATTTATATGTATTAAAAAAAAACTACTATTCTTCCATTATCAGTGCAGATTGTAGCTTCTTGGAAAGAACAACAATTTATTTTTAGATGAATAAACTTTAGTGATAATCCATGAAACTGATTTGAATTTGAACATTCAAACTTTTTAAATCACTCTTCATATTTGCACATAGGAAACAGGAAATTAACATGAAGTGTAAACAACAAACAGAGCCAGTATTTGTGCATGTGTACAATACATTTTGTTGGATTTCCGCAAGCGATTGTTCAACCTAAACCGTCCACAACAGCAATCCTGGACATCTTCATTACA